TTCATCTGTGTGGGTGTGATAGTTTCTCTTCTTTTACAATGCTGGCCTCCAGTGAATGTGTCTTAATTGTCCTTGCTTGCCCAGGCCAGCCCTGTCTAACTGCCTACAAGATATCTAACTTACTTGTCTATAATAGAATGAGGGTTGCTTGGGGTTTCCCTGGCAGAATTTATGATATGAACATTTTTCAATGCTGTTTTACCATCACAATTTATGGCATAAAAACTCTTTACTGCTGGGCTGGAGATTTAGCTCAGCCTGCCTCGCAAGTGTAAAGTCCTGAGTTTGATCCCCCCTACAAAAACAAAAACAAAGACTCATTACTGCTGTGTATTTGTGAGGTCTCAGACAACAGCAGATACCAGCAGTGTGAAAGAATGAGCTGGCTTTGGGGGAGGGGTGTATCTCACTGTGTAGTCCAGGCTGGCCTTGAACTCACTGCACTCCTCCTGCCCCAGCCTCTCAAATGCTGGAATCATAGGTGTGGGCCACCACGCCTCGCTTTGCTTCAAGTATTTGAAGGGACTTTGGAAGTTTCAGCTTCCTCTTTGCCATAACTGTCTCCCCTGGGGAGTTTTCTTTTTAAATTTTGATGTTCTCACAGAGCCTCTCCGTAGTTGCACAACCCCAAAAGTTTTAAACTCTGGGTTTGGCCTCTTAGCAGTCATTTCCTTCCTGTAGCAGGGCTGTAATTGAGAGGGGAGCTCTAAGCTGCTGTCCCAACTCAGCAGAGGAGACTTGGCCTCCCTCACCCTGAGTAGGTGCAGGTGGCTCCCTCCCTGATTTGTGTCCTCCCCCCACCCCACCACCACCCCTACAGCCTCGAGGGGACAGTGCAGGCTCCCCACACATGCCCTAGAGCCCCACAGCTGGGGTCAGGTCTATGAGTTGCTAACAAACACCTTTCCTCGTCACTTTTGTTGCCCCTGTTTTGTAGACTGGAAATTGAGGTTCACAGATTAGATATGGCTTGTGAGTAATGGGGCTGAAGTGGGAAGGCAAGTTTGACATTAAGCTGTGTTTGGACAAGTCACTCGATTTCCCTCTCTGAAAACTGGGAAAGGCATTTTTCCTTCTACTTTGCTTTTAAATAAAGGTAAGGGATGATGATTTTTTTTTAATGTTACATCAGCTGGAAGTGGTACACAGGCCCACGACCCCAGCCCTCTAGGAGGCTGAGGCAGGAGAGTCATAAATGTGAGCCCAGCTTGGACAACATAATGATGTTCAAGACGCTGTCTCAAAAATAAAAAGGGATGGGGCTATAGCTCACTGTGAGGGTCATGGGTTAGATGCCAAGTACTTCAAAACAAAAACAAAACCCAAACAAACAAAAGTTCCCTACGTTTTCATAGGGATGGTATGAGTGGGGGTTAAGTGAGATCCTGTTATCAGACTCTGCTGTGCAGGAAGCTGTCCTACCCTAGTTCCCACTGTATCGTAACATGAGCCTTGAAATCGATTGGTTTCTCACATGAAGTCTAGTGCAGTCAGGCCACTTCCTGTATTTTGTTTTCTAGCACTGGCGATTAAACCCAAGGTCTTTGCACAGAATTACATCCCCAGCCCTTTGTATTTTTTATTCTGAGACAAGGTCTTACATAGTCGCTAAGTTGCCTAAGCTGAGCTCAAAGTTTCATCCTCCTGCCTCAGCCTCCTTGAGTGCTGGGATCACAGGGGTGCACACACACCCCCAGATCACCTCCTGCATTCTTGAAGCCTGAAGCCCAGTGTGTCCTTGGGAACAAACACAGGGCTTTCAGGGTCACTGCAGCAGGAAGTGGGGAAGAGAAGAGTTGCCCTGGCTGCTAATTTCTTTGCCCAGAAGTGATGGGCAGGATCTCAGGCCAGAACCAGTTACACAGCTCCTGCCAGGTTGACGGGGAGGCCAGGATATGAGAGGGAGCAGTCAGGCTTTGGGTAAACATCTCAGCAACTTCCTCAGTTGTTGGAGTTCATGCAAGGCCCTGCCTAACTATGACCTGTGAGAGACCCTGTGTCTGATCTTGCCCCAGCTCTCTCATTCCACTTCCCCACTTTCCTTTTCTGCTGAAGCTCAGCCACCAGGGTCTGCCTTTGCTGATCTGCACCAGTAGCCTCTTCCTGGAGGCCTGTCCCTCCCAGGTCCCCGAGTTCTTGCTGTGGCCAATCTTCTCCATCTTTGGGGCTCTGCTTAAGGGTATATGATCACCTTTCCTTAACCACCCTATTTAAATAGGTCTGTTAGGTCCCCCTCCTCAAGTTTCTTTTCAGCATGAGTCTTTCCAGTGTAAAATTACATATCTCTTCTTTTATTTATTTTGTAGTACCGGGGATTGAACCAAGGCCTTCACAATGCTCTCTACCACTGAGAGGTATACCTAGTGGTTAGCAGCTTTTGTTTAACTACCTTGATGTCCGGATTCTGTGTATGTTGATAAATGATGGCATCCTGTCCCTGATACAGGGCACACATGAAGTGGGATGAGTCTCTCAGTGGCTGGGGAAAGTTCTCTGAGAGCTGGAGCAGAGCCTTAGGAAGACAGGTCCTGTCCTCAGACTCATCTGATTTTGTGTCTAGCTAGAGCTGGGGATTTTGAGTGGTGTGTGCTGCGTTCATCCATGCGTGTGTGTGTGTGTGTGTGTGTGTGTGTGTGTTTGTGTGTGTCTGGGTCTGGTTCTGGGAGGGTCAAGCTGAGGAATGAGAAGGGAAAGGAAAAGAGGGCCCAGTAAGTTCTGTGTGGTGTGGGCAGCTGGCTCCAGAGTTCCTTGGGTATCACTGAACCTCTTCTGTTTGCTCTAGAAGGGATCTGTTCCAGCCAGAGTCTGCTGAAGAATGAGAACAAATGCTTTCAGGGCCAGGGATGTAGCTCAATGGTACCACGCCTGTCTAGTAAGTGCAAGGTCCTAGGTTCAAACCACCCTCCACCCCGCACCAGGAAAAAAAAAGGAAAGAAAAGAAAATACCAAATGCATAAATATTTTGTGACTATTTAACTTGAGGGGTTGGAGGGAGGGTGTTTCCAGAGTGCGCTCATCAGGAAAGAACTTCGTGGCAGCTGAGTCCCCTCTGCTGCAAGGAGCATGGCTGCCTTGGTTACTGTATTGTGCCCTCAGTGAGGAGGGAGGTCCAGGCCCCTGGGTCAGCCAGGTCTCAGCATGTAGAAACATCGTTGGTCCTCTCCACTGAAGGGAGTGCAGCCTGAGTAAACAGACTACATCAAGCAGCTGTCCTAGCTTTCCCTTGCTTCAGGATTAGCCATGGTCCAGAGCAGCTGTTTGAGTTACAGAGGCTGCACCTAGGCAGTGATAGCTGATAGTAGTGAGCAGGAGCAGGTTGTCTCCCCTGAGCACTTGTTTTGTCCTCGAGGAAACTCTCAGGGCAGTGGAGGGCCCAGTTCCTGGTCTCATTTGCCTGAATGGTTCCTTTGCTAGTGAGCCTGATGGCAGAATTCGTAGTGGCTGGAATTCATGCCAGGATGCCATGAGCTCATGGCTTGGCTTCCGGTCAGTGATTCGTTCTCATTAGAGAGCCTGGGACACTGAGAATGCAGAGTAGCGAGACAAAGAAATCACACCACCAGCCAACCCCAGCGAGCAGCACTTCTGCCTGACCCTCTGTCCCATCACCAGAGGCACTTGCCATCCTACTGCTAGCTATCCTAGCCTGAACTCTGCCCCAGCTGCCCCGCAGCTGGCCAATAGGGAGCCATGCAGGAGGGTCCCTCTTCACCACCTCATGCGCGCATGTGTGGCTCCCCGCCTCCTTCTTCCTTGAGGATGGTTTTATTCCTCTGCACCTTGGTATGGCAGCCTGAGAGAGCAGGTGTTGTATCTGCTCAGTGACCAGAGACCAGGCTTCCAGGGGTGGAGGACAGTGAGGCCCCCTGTTCTCTGTCTGGTGGTTTTGACTGTGGAAATGGAGGTGGAGGTCTATCCCATGCCTTCCAACTCAAGATTGGTGTCAGCAACTCCAGACCAGAGAGGAAAACATCCAGTACCTTCGGCTTTGCTTTCTTTTCTTGCAGCACTTGGGCTTGAATGCAGGGCCTCACACATGCTAGGCCAGCGCTGTACTCCTGAGGCTTACCCGGCTGTTACCATTTAAAGCTTGTACATAGGACTCCTTGTTTACATTTAAAAGACTTTTAAACCCAAAACTCACTGAGAGGGGTTTATGAAGAACCCAGAACCTCCTCTGGGAACTGAAAATGGACTGGTGGCTGACAACAGCACGGGTTGTGGCCTTCCAAATGTGACTTCAGTCCTCCAGTGTAGGGCATCTGCCCAGATGCACTGATGACCCCCTCACAGCTCAGGTACTAGATGGAGCCTCCAAATCTAGGTCTCCCAGGACCTCTGCATTTTCCCAGACCTGTCCCAAGGGGAAGTGAGATCCCTGTGCCCCCAGGCTAGTCACTTTGTCTGCTCTGGCCTCAGTTCCTCCATTCCGACAAGGACTGAACACAAGATGTTAAAGGCACATTGTCTCAGCTTGGCCTGACCTGGCACCGTGGGTTCTCAGCAGTTGGAACTATTGGCAGTAGGATCCCATCTGCAACACAGGATGAAGCCTGTGTATCACAGCTGTTGACAGGGAAGCTGTAGCTCAGCCAGCACTGTTAGAATCAAGAGTGACTTAGAGGGACGGGCATTTTATTGTTTTATTTTTTTATTTATTGCTTTGCAGAGCTGTGGATGGATGCCAGGGTTTCACAACAGCCCTGAGATGTAAGCAAAAGGATGTTATTTTCATGAGCTCCACTTTGTAAGTGGGGGAAAGGGTCTCGGATGGAAAGTAACTCACCTGCGGCCATATCCTGGGCAGGGTCAGAAGCCAGGTGTGTGCGATGCAGGCTGTCAGAGCAGGGCCAGCACGGGCCTGTCATCAGTATCCTGATGGGGAGCCCACAGTCCGACATGGAGTCGTGGCAGAGTTTAGAGCGGAACCCAGGGTTCTGATCTGAGCAGTTGTCCCACATCACGAAATGACCGTGACCTTCCTTCCTCCATGTTTCCAGGGACACAGGTTCCCAAACCCAGCTCTTCCCTGCCGGCCTTCCCAGGACCTATGATGCCAGGGCCTGTGGCAGCTGCTGAACAAAGCACAGAGGAGACCAGGAACAGCAGGGATCCCCAGGGGCCAGTCATCTTTCAGGGCCCAGGTATTTTTAATTTCATGTAATCTGTGTAGTTAAAGCAAATGTATTTAAGGAAATTAAGATGTATCTATAAGAGTGGTGGGAGCCTGTGGTACATATGGTATTGTGTTTTTCTTTTTCTGTAGGGTTTTCTTCAAAGTAACCTTCAGGCCTTTTAAGAATTAGCTTTATGGGGCCAGGGGTTTAGCTCAGTGGCTCCACCACCTGCTTCGCAAGCTCAAGGACCAGAGTTCGATCCCCAGTACCAACAAA